CGACTGTGCGACCGCCCCGCGCACCGCGCACGACCGTGGTCAGAGCTCAGGTGGTGGGTAGTAGTGGTAGTCAGGTGGTGGTGGGTCCGTACCAGATTCCAGCGCAAGCGCAGGCTGTTGATGGAGGGCAGCGAATCGACGGTTCGCTGCAGGGCCGAGAGCAGCGTCGGGCCGTCGTACCACGGGAACTCGGTCTGGGGGTCGCGCCGCACGATGTTGGTGCCGCGGGCGGCCGAGATGGGCACGAACTGCGTGGCGCCGGGCGGTACTCCCGCGATCGCCAACGAGCGGCTCATCTGCAAGGCGCGCGTGTGCGGACGCAGTCAGCAGCTTGCTCGGCTGCGGAAAAGTCAAATCGATTTGAAGAGATCTCAGCAGAGGAAGTGTACCTGCGCCACGAGTTCGTCCATGCGTGCGCTGCTCGAGTTCCACTGATCAGCGCAGCTGTCCGTTTTGTTGATTGCCACCTTTGCACCACACACACACACACACACAAGAGTCAGTCTTGGAGAGGCGCTTGCATGTGCGTGTGAGCCGCGGCGCGCACCACGAGGTGCTTGATTCCGGCAACGACGGCGGCCAAGGGCTGCTGTCGCGATCCGGCGCCCGCATCTCCTTCCTCCGAAGAGACCACGAGAACGCAACAGTGGGCTCCGACGAGGTTCCGCCAAAAAGTTCTTCACGTACGCCCGGTCGCCTTTCACATTGACGCAAAGCACATTTGAAGCCAAAGTGTAAGTTAATCGTCATCTTCATCTTCTTCATCTTCTTCATTATCTTCATCATCTTCATCATCTTCTCGTGGTCAACTCGAGAGAAAGAAAGGGAGGAGAAGAGCGGTACAGGGAAGGTCGACGAGGGTGAGATGGCAGCGCGGCTCTTGTAGGAGCAGCAGCTCCCCGCAACGGCTCGCGCGTGTGGGCTCCCGCTGAAGAGTTTGCTGTACTCTCGCGTGCCTGCCCAAGTGCAATGCGCACACGATGAGTTTGTGCGGTGGTGCGTGTGTCGTGTGGTGTGTGTGTCGTGTGGTGTGTGTGTGTGTGTGTGTGCATGCGACGCACTCGGCAATCGTTGGAAGGGCCTTGGACAGATCATCGGTCGCCAGTGGGTGGAGCGCGCGCAGGAGATCGAACAGGGTGCTCTTGCCGCCGTGGCTCTGGCCCAGGAGCGCCACCGTGGTGTGCTTCGTGCGGCGCGCCAGCGCAAAGTAGGCCTCCTTCCACCGATCCGCCACCACCTGACTCTAGAGACACGCTGCCCGAGGAGGTGAGNGCCCCAGGCCATTGGCATGAAGTAGAGCGAGTAGCGCGCCGGGGGGGGGGTACCAGAGGGGCTTGGAAGGGCAGGTGGGCGAGGAGGCGGTGGACGAGGGCCTTCCACAGGGCAGGGTCGCTGGCGAGGGCGGCCCATTGGCGGCACACGAGCGCGCACGACGACGCCACCTGGTGCCCGTCGCCCAAAGCCACCAGCACACCCTGCACCACCTCTGTCCCCCAAAGCCCACAAATTAATCAGATCTCAAGGGACTCAATCGTTGTATTCCATTCGTATATGCAATGTGACATAGCGGGCACGATGTTAATTAGAACGGGCAAGGAAGCAATATACCAGGAGGCAACGAGTCCATGCAGCTGTTCGAGATATTGAAAAGAAATAAGAACGGCTGATCTAGAACCAGTCTGTCGGAGACAAAAAAGATTGAACGGAGTGGGATTTGAACCCACGCATCCGAAGATAACAGTGCCTTAAACTGTCGCCTTAGACCGCTCGGCCATCCGTCCCGTTAAAAGTGCAGCCAATAACATCCTCGTGGAGAAAACTGGCTTTGTCCCATTAAATACAGATTGACTGCTTTCTGTTGGCCAAAGCACTATTGTATTTTCAGTCAACCGATCCGCCCAAGCAATGGGAGTTGACGACGAAAAACATAGCAAAAAATGAAAGCCGTCCTAGGACAGGCAAGGAATGTGACGGGCGAGGAGTGTGGTGGATGATGGATACGGCCATACTGCGCAGAAAGCACAGCTGCCCATCCGAACAGCGAAGTTAAGCTGCGCCAGGCGGTGTTAGTACTGGGGTGGGCGACCACCCGGGAATCCACTGTTCCGTATCCCTTTTGCTCTTTTTGCTTGTCTATCTGCGATCTGGCCGATGTTTTTTTTGTAATGCGAATGTTGAGCAACGCGAAGCCGTCCTAGCTCAGTCGGTAGAGCGCAAGACTCTTAATCTTGTGGTCGTGGGTTCGAGCCCCACGGTCGGCTATCTTTTTCTCTGTTGGCTGAAGCTTCACCAGAAATGATGATTACATCATCAGGCGCCGTATTTAGGCGTTTTGCCCAACTTGAAGGCCAGCTCGGCCACGAACTGCTCGGCGGCGATGTTCCCATTGGCACCCTTGCTCTTGACCTCGGCCTCGGTGAATCGCTGGACGTCGTCCCTTCGCGTCGATCCCTCGTGGTAGTAGGTCGCCAGATGGCCAGCCCTGC